GTCTGGGTGCTGCAAGTAGGCAGGAGGGAGCAGCGGCTTAGAAACACCCACTCGGGTACAGCAGTGTGCCAAGCCCGGAGCACAGTCATCAGCCTTTGCAAGGGCGGGGAGGTGGGAGGCAGCGTGCGTGCACGGCCTGGGGGCTGGGCTGGAGCCTGCCAGCCCGGGCTCCTCTCTGGGAGGTGAGCCTTCTCGAGTGTGGGGGGCTGCTCGCAAAATCTCCTCCCCGTGGGGGCAGAGGAGCCTCCCTGGGGCTGGGGGCGGGAGAGTAAACCAGATGGAGGGACTATTTATGCCTCTCTCCAGCACCCACTCAGCCTTAGAAACTCTTTCTGGACCACATTAACTTTGTCACATGTTGCTTCATAAACACATTCTGCCATTGTGTGTGCCATGTGACCTCTGTGAGGGCAGGGCATTGGTTTTAAAAAAATTTTGTGAGTCTCACCACGTTTCCAGAACCTCATATGCAGCCACCGCACTCAGTAAGGGCTCGCTGATTAAGTGCCTTCGTGCCGACTGCAAACCTGTGTCCTGACACCGTGGTAGCGTGTGAGCAGTTGTGCTGAACTGCTGGGAAGGGCAGGTGGGGAAACTGCGGAAGGGAGAGGCACGGCCGGGCTCTCTGTGCACGCTGGCTGTCTGGCTCACGTGTCTGATCCCAGTCCAAGGCCGGCAGAGTTGCGTTCAGCCCACTGTCGCTTACACTCAGGCCTGAGTTGGCCCAGGATCTCAAATCATGTGACAGGGCTCATTCTTCATCTCAACTCGCCCGTCCCCGCTGTGCCCTATATGGTACCTGGGTGGCCACCAGCAGCTCCGCACTTCATCCTGTCACCCTGCTACGGTGTTTCTTGGGCTCCCCTGAACCAATACCATGAGCCAGGGGAATCTCACGCTCTGATTGTGCAGACCTGGGTCACACACTTCATCCCCAGAGTGGGGGTGGGGATTTATTTCCACCTGAACTACTTGGGTTGGGGGCAGGAAGGGGAGAGGATTTCCCAAAAGAAAACCAGGCTGCCTTTACCAGAAGACAGGGGAATGCGTGCCAGGCAGGCAGAAACACCAGGAGCCGCCACAGAGCCTCACAGATCTCCTAACCTCATGCTATCTGAGATTGTATGCATGTTTAAACCACCTTGGGTTTTGTGAAAATGCAGATTCCGATCCGCAGCACTGAGGTGGGACCTGAAATTCTGCATTTTTTCACAAATTCCCAGGAGAGGCCAGTTCTGCGGATCCAGGGACCATGCTTGGAGTAGCATGGCCATGGTCCCAGACCTTCCTTTTCTAGAGAAAGGACTAGAAACCCATGGAGAGGCCCGCTGCACCCAGGCCCTGGCTCCTCCCCAACCCTGGGCTGTGCACAGGGGCCTCCCTCTCTCCCCCTCTCTGGCTCTGACTCTTCCCCAGCTAGAAGGCCGCCTAGCATTCGGACATTATGGAGTGGTTCCTGGGGCGGGGGGTGGAGTGTGCTTTCCCAGGAGGTATCATGGAAAACCCATCTCGGCAATGAACTTCAAAGCCTTTACGGCATCCTCCCAGCCAAGGCAGGAAGGCCTCCAGGAGTCTCCTGGCCTAGAAACACCCATGTTCTGTGTTCCGTTAGTGTATTCCCTCCACAGCCCTCCGCGCTGAGGCCAACACGTCCTCTGAGAGCAAGTTGACAAAACCTGGGAGGAGCATGGCACACTTGGAGCTGGAGCTCAGGGCAACAAGGCAGATGTCAAGGGGGCAGTGAGCGGGGGAATCAGAGGACGGAGGGAATGTGAGGGGACCCGGACACAGCATGGGACACGGGGGGCAGGGAGGGGCATCTCGGAGTAACTGGATCTCCTTAAGGAGGAATGTGTCCCATGCCCCCTTCCTCCCGCACCCCTTCCTCCCGCCTGTTCTCCCAGGGAGACCCCCAGCTGTCTTGTATCAGCCCTCTGCACTCTCTCTGAGGTCTTTTCCTCCAGTGATCTGTAGCTCAGCCCCTGCCTCCTTTTTGTGTGTTAGATATTTTCTGGAAATTCTCGAATCCCATCCACTCTCTTGAAACGCCACGGTAGCGCAGGATGGACGCATTGATTCTTCAGTGCGCCTGCTGGAGGCAGTACGGTGTGGGAATTTAGAACAAGGGTCGGTCCACAAACTACAGCCAAAGTTGGGCCAAATCCAACTTCAGCCTGTTTTTGTCCATAAGGGTCATGGAAACACAGCCACGCCACTTACTTAGGCACTGTCCGGCTGCTTTGGACTCCAGCGGGACTGCTGAGTATCCTGACGGCGACCGGGTGGCTCACAAAGCCTAAAATGTGTCCCCTCCAGCCCTTTACAGTAAATGTCAGCCACCCCGTGTTTAGACTCTGGCTTCTGATGAGGTTCTGTGACTTCCTAGCTGTGTGGCCATGAGCAAGTGGCTTGTACCCTCGTGCCACGGTTTCCCCCTGGGGTTGCTGTAAGAACTAAATGAGCGAATGTGCCTAGGGCGTGGAGTGGCACTTGGTCCGCTTTAAGTGGCACAGCACCTAATATGAAAGTGCCAATTCGTGGGGCAGGGCATCGTGAACTTGGATCAGAAAGGAGACCTGTCCTCAGCTGCTGGGAGTCTCTGACATCATTTTCTTCATCATCAAGATGATAGCTGTGTTTACTAAGCACGTGGGAAGTTGACTTTTACTGGGGAGAAAGGTTCTAACTCCAGGGCATCGGGGGAAATGCAAGACCGTATTACCCTTGAATGTCCCTTAGATGGGTCGTGGAGTCTATACACGTGACTTTGTGTCCTCCTCCATTCTCAGTCACAGGGCCAGGACCAGGATGAGGTAAGCAAGGTACCTAGAGCGGAATATTCCAGGAGGCCTCACTCTCAGACGTGTGCATGTGCAGGTCAGCACCTGAGAGCACGTCCTCCTTACACACCACACCCTGGCCCTCGCCCGCCTCCCCCCTGCCCAGCCCCTGTGTGCTGAGCCAGCTCCCCCTCCAGCCTCCCGTCGGGTGGTGGTTTCTCCAGTTCACTACCAGACAGCAGCGTTGGCTGGCTTTTAGGGGCTACATGGAACAAAATAAACGCCTGAGAAGAGGTCTGGCCGCCTGTGTAGAGTGGACGCCACGTGAACAGGCACAGCCTCCCTGTGCTGTGTGCCAGGGCCCCACGCCGAGGGCTCAGACACGGCGTGCCGTCCTCTTGGCAGCTCTGCGATGACGGTCTCACGAGTGCCATCTTAACAGACGTGGAAACTGGTACTCGGGGAGGTTAGGGGATTTGTTCAAGGTCACCCAGGGAATAAGCATCAGGGCTGCAGGAGTTGGATGAGTCTTTCGAGTTTGGAACTCAGGCCCTTCCCCAGGCAGGAGCAACTGTCATATAACCACAAAGACGGCGAGTGCCCAGAGGGAGTCAGGGTGTGGGTACATGGAGGAGATTCGGGAGAATGGAATTAAGATTGGGAGAACAGCATGAGAAAAGGCACAGAGGTAGGAGAGTTTAGGGCACAGGGGAAGGTCAAGACTCCATCACAAATAACATAAATCCTATTTACATTGGCTTGAGCGAAAAAGAGGAAGTTTCAGTGGGGCTTGCTTCAGGTGCAGCTGGATCCAGGGGTCCTAAACAATCTCCTCAAGACTTGGCTTCAGCTTTTCAGCTTTCTTTGCCCTCTCTGCGTTCGGGGCAGGATGGTCCCCAGCAGCTCCTGGCAGACTTCCCTTTAGCTTAGCATCCCCTGCAGGAAGAGGGCACCTCCTCCCCACTATTCTAACAGAAGTCCAGGGCTGTTCTCATTGGCTTCCTTGGGTCCGTTTCCATCCCTGACCCAGCTGGCCAGGGCATGTGATGAGGGGAGGAGTGGGCTGCCTGGCCAGGCCTGCCTCACAACCCCACCACTGGGAGACACATGCATGGATTGAGAGTGGGGAAGGGAATGGGCCCCAGAAGAAAACAAGGGAGGTGTTTCCCAGAGCCTGGGTGCTGGACTGATGGAGCTGCGGATCCCGGGGCCCTGGAAGCACTTCTTTATGGCCGAATGGTCAGGCATGTGGTTGTACGCACAGGAGTCTGTAGGAAGACAGGCTGTGGCCAGACTGTAGAGTATTGTGCACGCCGGGAGTGTTGGTTAAGGCGCAGGTTTGGCTGCTCCCACAGGGAGGCCCAAGTAAGTGCCTCTAGCCGCACAAAAGCTGATGTCTTGATGTGACACTGCTCAGATGGGGGCAGTCACCCCACCCCAAGAGGTCATCGAGGAGCCCAGGCACTAATGGCCTTAGTGCTCTGCCATCCTCTGGCTGTTGCTCTCCTCCCCTGGTGCCAGGCAGCTCACCCCTCCCTCCTTCCAGCTGGCAGGAAGGGGAGCAGGTTATGGGGAGCCTGGAGGATGCAGGGCACACGTCTCCCTCCCCCCCCACCTCATTTGCCAGTCATGTCCACGTGGTCCCTCCCAGCTGCAGGGGAGGCTGGGAATGTCGTGTGCACCGTCTGGAAACTTGATGCGAGGGAAGAAGGGGACAATGGGTGTTGAGAGGCGGCCCAGCATCTGCCAGGTCAGGCCAATGAGTCTGTTTCCCAAAGAATGATCCTAGGAATGGCAGAAGAAAGAGAGGCCCCACCACGCCGCTTCCACAGTCCAGAACATTCCACTGTAAGATATCCATAGTGTGTATATATGTGGCCAGGGTTTCCCAAAGGAGTTTGATCACAAAACTCTTTTTGACACTTTTAACACCTGCTAAAAGTCTACTGATAAATAATTTCAAACTGAGAAGTTATTTTTAACAATTCTAAGCACACTCTGGACGGTAGGAAGCAGTCGAGGCTGGTGCTGGCCCGTACGGAGTGGGTGCTGCGGGGCCAGCGTTTGTCGTGACACACTGCTGTCCCGTGTAGGCACGCGGCCTGTGGAGTCTAAGTGCAGAGGTCCTGGGCTCCACCCTCCACTGCCAGTCCTTGCCCCTCGGAGGAATAAAGGTGTTCATGCCACCGTGTCTGAGACGGTCTGAATTTTTGTACCTAGCAATCCGTGCAGATCAGAACAGAAGCTGGCCCGCGGCTCCACATCGAACCCCCTCTGGACTATTCTGAAGATTTTGAGCCGTGTGGGGACGTGACGATCAAGTCAGAGGATGCTTCTGAGGGTCGTCTGCAGGTAGGGACTGGCCTCAGCCTCGTGCCGCAGTGGCCCTTGGGGACACTGTCTGGCAGTTATTTGTTTCTTCCCTGGCCCCTGCCTTCCTTCACTCTTGCCTTCACGTCGCACACTTTGGTGGGCGCACAAACCGAGGGCCAGGAGGTCAGTGCGCAGGGGCCCCTGGTGTCTGGCGTCTGACCTGGAAAAGTCAGCAGCATGCAATTCCTGCACAGCGAGAGAGTGCAGAGGGGTGGGGGCCAAGCACCCTGGAAGACTTCCCAGATGTTGGGGTAGCTTAGAAATGTTGGGGTGACCTGGGGAGATTGCTGGCATAGAAACCTCTGCAGACGTGACAGTCTGCATAGGTGTGGCTGTTTTCCAAATGATAAGGACATTCCAAGGGCAGGAGGAACTAAAAACAGTTTCTCTCCTGGGGTGGAAAGCTGCTCCAGGCCAGCAATCTCCCTAGGTCACCCCAACATTTCTAAGCTACCCCAACATCCAGAGGGAGTGACATTTGCCCTGGGCCCTAGAAGCTAGGTATGAGTTTGAGGAGCAAGGAGGTGAGGGCAGGCAGGCAGAGCGGATACCAGCCTGTCCACACGTGTATACAGGCACCTGTTAAATATTTTGAACATCATCACCTGGGCCAGCAGAAGCTGCACGTGTAAAATCCCAGAAGCCCGTGCAGCTACAGCTCAGCATCTGTGTGGGTCTAGTGGCTGACAAGGGTGATGATGGGGCATTTTCCTCCCCTTCTTCAAATTGCCATTTCATTTCTGAAATCCACTGAGCTGCAAAAATATATCCTAGTCTTTCCTCCAACAAGCATTTGTTGAACACCTATTTTTGAGCATCAGGCTCTGTCCTAGGCACCAGAGACCTGGAAATGAATAAAATTGATGAGACATCTATTCCCAAGCAACTCTATACCAAAGAGGGGAGGGGGGACAGACAAAAAAAAAATAAAAGCAAGAAATAAGCAATGAGATAATTTCAGGTAGCCGTAATTTCTCTAAAGAAAACAGAACAGGCCTGGGATGGAGGTGGGGTGGACGGTTGGAGTTTATTCCAAGGGCATTGTTTTTATAATTAGAATGAGTAGATCATCTCTGTGGTTATGTACAAGCAAAATCATCAAGGAGTGGCAGGTCAAAGTCAAGTTGCTAAGCCAGACCTTGTCCCATTTACTGCAGATTCAATAGCCTCACCGCAAGCGCAGAGTCTTGCCTCTGTGTGTTGCTTTTATAAAAAGAAAATGCCTCACAAAGGAGATGGGAATGCTGTCCAGGAAACATTCCTCTAATTTTTGTTGCATGTGGGTAAGGAGCAAGGATCACTTTGTTTCACATCCTGGTTGCAAAAAGCCCGAGAGTTAATTGGAAATTTTTGTCTTCCTAAGAAAGAAAATAAACATCCTTTTCTTTTCTTTCTTTCTTTTTTTCTTTTTTTTTTTTTTCCTGAAACAAGGTCTCACTCTATCATTCAGGCTAGAGTGCAGTGGCGTCATCATAGCTCACTGCAACCTCCAGCTCCTGGGCTCAACCGATCCTCCGGCCTTAGCCTCCCGAGCAGCTGGGACTGCAGGCATGCACCATGATGCCTGGCTAATTTTTCTATTTTTAGCAGAGACGAGGTCTCACTCTTGCATCAGGCTGGATAAAAGTCCTTTTCTATGGAATGATCCAATGACCTTGTTTCCCTACCTGGTCCATAAAAGTGAGATTTAAACAGTAGGCGAACTTACAGGCTTTCTTACCTTTAAAGCCCACCTCCCCCACAACACACACACACACACACACACACACACACAAACACACACACACAACCAAACCACACACACCACACAACACACACACACACACACACAACACACAACCACACACACACACCACACACAACACACACAACACACACACACACACACACACACACACACTCTCTTTGCTTTTGAATCAACCAAACATTCCCCTGCTCAGGATTGGTGTGTGCCAAACAGTCATCAGTTTCTCTTCATTTGGGGGGCTCGGTTTTAGCCACGTGCCAGTCTGTTACAGTCCCAGCCCAGCCCCGTGTCACAGAATGTGTGTGTGTCCTTCTAGCAAGAGGCCGTGGTAGTTTGCCTTTGGTCAAGCATCGGGCACCTCTTGTTAAATTAACATGCAGTCCTTCCTTTGCAAGCTCCCAAACTCCCTGCAACACAAGGCAGCTGCGGCGTCCCTCATACGCTATTAAGTTCCATTAGCATTCCTTTGTGCACGTGCTCTGAATTGGCATGGCTGCTGCTCCACGGCACTTAATTTTCTCCACTCTGAGTGCTTGATTATATTTCTTTCTTTCCTTTTTTTTTTCCTTCCCCATCTTGAGGGGGCACTCCATAAGGCTTCACAGTCAATTTCCCCTTGGAGTTATTTTCCTGCAAAGTGAAGAAGTAAAATGGCAGTGCCGGTTTTCGGTAAAGGCAGAAGTCTTAAGAGATGCAATCTGAACAGGGAAAGGAAAAAAAGAAAAAAGGCACGTGGCTAAATATACTCAGCCACCTCACACTGTTTGCAAGTGCAGCCTGAAATGGAGCAAGAGGAAACGCGTGTCCGCATATGTACTTTTCATCTGACCTTCACTGTTGAAACACACCAGCCTCTCGCCTTCAATCACATCCTCAGTGAACTTCAATTTCTCGCCGGCTCTGAGTTCACAGCCCGGCGTGCTGCAGACACGTTCTGCTGGCCTGCACCCCGTTGACTTGCACAGTGCCTTTAAAAGATGTGAATTGCTAGCTGACATTTAAGAATCAGGAGATTCCATGGGAACATCTGAATTGGGGGCTTGAAAAATTGGGGAATCTGGGGGGGGGCATGTACATTCGTACATGCCAACAATGACTAGAACTGAGGAGCGGCTGTCCCCTTAGACAGGGCTGCGTGCCCCAATGTGCCACAGTCCCAGGCACTGTTCCAGACACTGAAGATAAAGCAGAAGATAAATGAGTACATAACGTGCCAGGAGGTGACAGGGCTGCTAAAAATAAAGCGGAGAAAGGGGACAGAGGAGGATGGCAGGGGCCTCCCCTTGATGGGGTGGTATTTGAGTGGAGACCTCGAGGAAAGAAAGGAGTGAGCCAGGTGGGGAAGAACCTTCTAGGCAGAGGGAGCAGTGAAAAGGCCCTGGGGGCAGGGGGTGGGGAGCCAGCGAGGAGGCCAGTGTGGCCAGTGGTGCGTGAGGAAGAGGGGTGAGGTCAGAGAAGCAGTCAAGGTCAGATTGCATCGGGCTTGGGGGCTGCGGCATAAGATACGGGATTGTCTTTCAGTGAGACAGGAGCCATCACAGGGTTCTGAGCAGTCGCACAACTCCAGTGAAAGGAGGGTGCCTCTTTCCAGAGAGTACCACCAAAGTGCCAGGTCTCAGTCATGTCAGCTTTCCCTGGGACATGGCCGTGTGCTGCAGTGGATAATACGAGCTCCATTTCAGTGATACTGGCTTCATGGAAGAAGTATCAGGAAAAAAACAAAGTGTATATTTTTAGAAATTAAGGTATCTTATTTTCCCAATAATACATGAAAGACATAAAAAATTCAAATGATATTAATACAAAGAAAAGTCCTCTCATCGTCCCCCGTGCCCCAGAGATAACTATTGTGTACTCACAATAGACGTCACACCACCGTCTAGACTGAAAATGGCATGTCTCATCATATCCAAGACAAGATAGCGGATCTGGGACTGTCTCAGTCCTGTCTCACTCCCAATGAGTGATGTGTCACAAGTTCAGGTACTGGTAAGTCCCTGAGAACATGACAGATGGCAGGGAGACCTGACCAGCCAGACTTCTTCAGGAATGCCTTCTGAGTTTCTCTCTCCAGTGGGTGGATCCCGGAGTGGGGTGAATTAGGTATTTTCCCCCAATTACAATTCAGTGTCTTCTTAAGGTCGTCATTATTATCGACACGTATAAACAAGTAAAGGCCATCGTCCTTGGCCAAGCACCTCCAGTGGAGCGCCGTGCCCCCACCCACCCCCGGCAGGGCCCTTCCGCAAATCCCTTGTGTCCTCCTTCGTTCATTGCAATGGCGAGACTTAAAAAATGAGGCATTGCTTTTAGGAAAATTCCACTGCTTGGGTACTTCTGCTGTTTGGGACTACCAAATAAATCATCTCTGAGCGAGTGCCTTTTTGAAAACTTCTTATTGTTATATGAACAGAAATGAGATTATACTATCCATTTTATTTGCTAATCCCATTTTTTTTTGTACTCAACAACGTACTATGGGCATCTTCCCACACTGATACTCACTCAACCAATGGATAGCCCAGTGGTTCAGAGCACTGTATTAGGAGTTGGCGATCTGCGTTTCAGTCCTGCCTAGCTGTGTCTTCAGTGGTGTTGATACAGCAGGGATTGAGTGCAATCAGGTCTATTTTGGGAGCAAGAGCAGAGGGTGATCTAGTGAGGAGAGGCAGGGAGGCAGGATCTATAAAAGGCAGGAGGCAGGGAGACCAAGAGAAGAGCGGGGCCCCAGCCTGTCTTCAGGGACAGCGAGTTGCTTTGACGTGCCCACTTCTCTGCTTGTCTCTAGGATACCAAGTCTCCCACCAGCACCACGCCCTGTGATTTGAATGTTTCTCTTCTGAACGCACAGGAACATTCTGACCCTCCAAGCAGTATGGACAAAGAAAGGATCCTCTTGACCATTCAGGATGTAATGGTAAGATCCATTTGCAGCCTCCTAACCTTGAAGGGCTGGGGTCTTTTCCACAGCCAAGCAGCTGTGCCATAAAAGGGGCCCTGTGAGACGTTCTGTGAAAACAACACAGATTAGCAACAGATTTTAGCTTTAACAAAAAACCCTCTGACCCACCCACCAGAAGATTTAAAATAACATATGAGATATGTGACCTAATGACACTATTTTTTTAAAAAAAAAATAAGCATAAGATCACACATTAAATGAGCACTTACTAAGTGCTGAGCACCATGTTGAGCATGTAACATCCATCACTATATTAACCCTGTGAGTTAAGTGCTAGGTATTTTCATTCCCATGTTATAGTTTGGAGAAACTGAGGAACAGAGAAATGATATTGCTCACTCAGGCCTCAGGGAAGCCCACTCTGAAGGCCCGGGCTCCATGACTCCTAGTTCTTTGGAATTAACAGTCACAGGCTGGGAATGGCGCTGACCTATTTCTGCTTCTGCATGTGCCACAGTGTGTTGTGAACATTATTGATGTTCTGCCTGGGAGCAAGGTGTTCAGAGGTGACCGTCCATCAGTTATGCTTAATAGCGTTTTAAACAATGATAGAGAGAAACTCTCCTTAGCCAAATATCTCCCCAGTGAACCCATAGCTGAGAACATGGATGAAAAATGTTTTTCAAAACCAAAATCCAATGAGGAAACAACCAAACAAACCCAAATTGAGGGGCGATCTATAAAACAACTGGCCCAGAGTCTTCATAAATGTCAGTGGCATGAGAGACAAAGAAAGGAGACTGTTGTAGATTAATGTAGGATAAAGAGATGCCACAATAATGATGTGTAAGATCCAGGTGGGGAGAGGAATTGCTAAATTTAAGAATAGTTTTAGGAAATTAATGAAATTTGAAAATGCACTATATTGCATTAAATAACAATATTGTATAGACATTAAAATTCCGGAGCTCAATAGTTATACTGTGACCAGGTAAGAGAATGTCCTTGTTCTCAGGAGACACCTGCTAAAGTGTGCAGGCAGGAGGGGTTGAGGCGTCAACAACTAGGGCATAAATGGGTCAAAATAAAGAATACGTGTGTACAGGCTGGGTGTGGTGGCTCACGCCTGTAATCCTAGCACTCTGGGAGGCCGAGGTGGGCAGATCATTTGAGCTCAGGAGTTCAAGACCAGCCTGAGCAAGAGCGAGACCCTGTCTCTACTAAAAATAGAAAGAAATTAGCTGAACAACTAAAGATATACATAAGAAAAAATTAACCAGCCATGGTGGCGCATGCCTGTAGTCCCAGCTACTCTGGAGGCTGAGGCAGGAGGATTACTTGAGCCCAGAAGTTTGAGGTTGATGTGAGCTAGGCTGATGCCACGGCACTCTAGCCTGGGCAACAGAATGAGACTCTGTCTCAAAAAAAAAAAAAAAAAAGAATACGTGTGTACATATTGAGGAAGAGAAAGGAGGAGGAGAGAGACAGAAATGTGGCAAAATATTAACAAATGTGATTACAGGTAAAGGATATTTGAGTGCTCATTATACTAACATAAATTTTCTGTGGGTTTTACACTTTTTCAAAATAAAACAACAAAGCACATTAAAGAGGAGATGACCTGCTTCAGTAGAATTAAGCATCAGCAAAAGAAGAAATAGAGAAAAGTAAAAAAGGAGACCTAGTTACCATAGTAAGTTGTATCAGTGTCAGTTTCGCGACTCTGAAGTTGCACTGTAGTTATGCAAGACGTTACCATTAGGGGAAACAAATGACATGTGAAATCTACAATTATCCCAAAATAAAGGGTAAAAAATAAATAGATAAAAGCGCAAATTCTGCTTCTGATTCTGACTCTGGGTTTGGACTCAGCCATTATTCCCTTTTTGAAGCTGCTCACCTGACTGTAACTTGCAGCTATGTTTGCAAACCACAGTTACAAGGAGAAGGTAGAATGGTGGTTCTCAAAGTTCCACATGCACAAGAATCACTTAGGATATTTGTTTAAAATGCGTATTTTAGGCCTATTTTTTAAGTAAATGAAATGTGTATATAGGAGGTAGCACGTTTTTTAACAAAAGAAATCCCAGTTGATTCTGAACCAGAGGCCTCAAGATGAGGGTACACCTCAAATGGAAGAAACATTGTTTGGAGCTATTTTGGATTTTGTGGCTTGGATTTGGGGACTATAAAAGAAAAGAGTTAAAAAAAAAATCAAAGTTGAAAGCTCTTCTAGGCCAGGCGCAGTGGCTCACACCTGTAATCCCAGTACTTAGGGAGGCAGAGGGAGGAGGGTCCCTTGAAGTCCAGAGTTCAAGGCGCCAGTGAGCTCTGATCATGCCACTGCACTCCAGCCTGGGTGACAGAGCAAGACCCTGTCTCTGAAAAAAAAAGAAATAAAAGCTCTTCAAGGCCAGAAAGATACAGAATTTGGTGTGTGTGCAGGGGAGGGTTCCTACTCTTCTTTGTGAAACCATACCCTGTACTTATAGAAACCCAAGTGAGAGAGGATGGCACTTAAAAGTATAATACATGATACCCTATAAACATGTTCAACTATTATGTACCCATGATAATTAAAAATTTTTTTAAATATATAATAAATGAAAGATACAAAAACATAATAGCATATGACACTATCTCCTGTATTATAGGTCAATTTCAATCTAAAATATTAATCATTAGCCTCAGGAAAAGACTAAATTATATTCAACATACTCTTTTAAGTAAGACAAAGAAGTCAACATATTTGAGAAATATTTTCATATATAACTATTTAGGTTTTGGACTATTTAAAAAGGTGAATTTTAGGTAAATAGAAAATTAATTTATGTTGTTATATTAAGACAGCATTATATTATGAAAATAAATATGCACCCATCCTCTTTGGTTGTCCTCACTTTAGTCACATTTCAAAATGTGGCTCAAACTTCAGAAAAAAAACAATGCAGGGAAAGTAGAGCCATGTAAGAGAGGCGTTCTTATCAGGGATGACTTAAAAAACATGCAAAAATTCAAGATAAGGACAGAAATGCAGTGATGAATGGGAGGGAGTGTAGCCAAAGGACAGGGCTAGGGCTTGTACTTGTGACTGGGAGAGCCAGCTCCAGCTCCAGACGTGCTCTGTCGGCCAGCCTGCTGGTGTGCTGTGGCCATCACTGTTGTTTTCTTTTGAATTAGAAAACTTTTCTTCTGAGTGTGCACCCTCCAGTTTGTCCTGGTCCCCATTCCCTCCTGTGTGACACTCCAACTCATCTTGGTGCTTTCTAGAACATGTCCTGAAGATGCTGGAGTTTGCGAGTCCTGTTTTAGGGAGTAGAAAGAGCAAGTCGCTGAGCTGTGACTACCTGGAAAAGGTAGTTTGGGCTTTTCCATAAGCTCTCTGTAGGGGCTTGGCTAAGTCACCCTGTTTTGGAGCCCCCATTCCCTCCTCTGACAAGAAGGGGTGGATTAGATATTTTCTGTGCCTGCCAGCTCTGAAATTACAAATCCCAGGTGGAGTTTATAGGAAACTCTTTTCCCATATTCCAAAATCTAATGGAGTAGAAGATACATAATCGTTTATGGGTTCCCTGCTCATCTAAGGACTATTTCTTTTTTAGAAATGGGGTCTTGCTATGTTGCCCAGGCTGGAGTGCAGTGGCTAGTCACAGCCACGTTCAAAGTACCCTACAGCAGGGGTCCCCAACCTTTTTGGCACCAGGGACTGGTTTCATGGAAGACAATTTTTCCATGGACCGGGGGTGGGGTGGGGTGGGGTTGAGGATGCAGAGCTCAGGCCGTGATGCGAGCGACGGGGAGCAGCTATAAATACAGACGAAGCTTCCCTCACTGGCCTGCTGCTCACCTCCTGCTGTGGGGCCACCCAGTTCCTAAGTTTCACGGAAGACAATTTTTCCATGGATGGAGTGCAGGAGGAGCTCAGGCAGTAACACTCAGCCTGATTCCTAACAGGCCACGGACCGGTACTGACCCTCGGACAGGGGTTGGGGACCATAGCCCTACAGCTCAAACTCCTGGGCTTAAGCAATCCTCTTGCCTCAGTCTCCCCAGTAGGTGGGACTACAGGTGTGTGTCGCCACCCCCCCCCAACCCTGTGCCTAGCTATTTCCACAGGTCTTGATGTTTAGGGCTTCAAACACCCTTCCCCCATCCCAGATCTAAGCTTCATGGTAGCAGACACGGGCTCTGTTTCATTGCCCACTGTGTCTCTGGGCCCTACAAAAGTGCCCATCATAGGGTTAGTTTGCAAATAAATCTTTGTTAAGCAAGTGACTCGAATGATTGCATGGTTGAATCAGTGAGTGAGTGATATAGATGTTGATTAGGCACCCCGGCCAGCCCACACAAGCTGAGTTTAGTTATCACATTCACCATGTTATAATTATAGTGACAGTATTTCCCAAACTGTGACTCAGGACACATAATCTGACAAAGAATTTTTGTGCTGCCTGGGGTAAAAGAGTCAGTTTGGGAGATGAGGTTTGGATCCTGAAATATTGGGGTTTGTGGCACATAGTATTAATATAAAAGAATATTTTAAGTCCCATGAGTGAGGCTGGTGGGTCAGAAATCGGGATTTGTGGGGCCTGTAGCAGACAATCATAGTAGTATAGATTATCATCATGAAGAAATATGGGCCCAGTGCTGCCAGGCTTTCTAGGTTTAAGAGAAACCAGGTATATGAGTTTCTTTTGTTTAATTTCTCCTAATTTTTTTTAATGTTGGCCACTAATTCACAATTTTCTGTGGACCAAACAAAATATATCTGCTGGCCTGATTTGGCCTTTATGGCGCTTTTTTTTTTTTTTTTTGCTTGTTTTTGTTTTATTTACCATTTTATTTTTAGAGATAGTGTCTCGCTCTGTTGCTCAGCCCCATCTTGAACTCCTGCCCTCAAATGATCCTCCCACCTCAGCCTCCCAGAGTACTAGGATTCAACTTACAACTTCCGGTTTAGACAGTGAAGGTTTGCCAGTTCTTGACAAGAGAGGAGGAAGAGGTCTTTCTCCATC